ATTATGCAGACCTGAAGCTCCCATCTGATTTTATTTGGGGCGTCGCAGCCAGCGCATGGCAGATCGAAGGAGGCCTCAAGCTCGAAGGCCGCGGCACATCTATCCTCGACACCATCGGCGCTATCCAGAGTGACGACAACTCCTCAGATGCCAACATCGCCGACCTAAGCTACTATATGTACAAACAGGACATTGCGCGACTAGCCGCCATAGGCATCCCATACCTCTCCTTCAGCATCTCCTGGCCACGCATCGTCCCTTTCGGCGTAGCCAACTCACCCGTCAACACCGAGGGACTCCAGCACTACGACGATGTGATTAACACCTGTCTTCAATACGGCATCACCCCTATCGTAACCCTAAACCACGTCGACTTCCCGACAGCCCAAGCAGCCGACTACTCCACCCTCACGGACAACTTCCTCTACTATGCGAAGCAAGTAATGACCCGCTACGCAGACCGGGTCCCCTACTGGGTGACCTTCAACGAGCCCAACATTGGCATCGGCAACAGCTTCACCTCCTACAACGACCTCACGCACGTCCTAACCGCACACGCGGCCGTCTACCACTGGTACAAAGAGGAACTGCAAGGCACGGGCCAAATTACCATGAAGTTCGCCAACAATCTCGGCGTTCCCCTGGATCCCTCCAACAGCAGCCACGTCGACGCCGCCCTCCGATACCAAGACTTCATCCTGGGAATTATGGCCAACCCATTATTCCTCGGCGAACAATACCCCTCGACTGTCCTCAACACGCCTAACCTTAACCTCACCCCACTCACCCAAACCCAACTCTCTACTATCAACAACACCGTCGACTTCTGGGCCTTCGACCCCTACGTCGCGCAATTCGCCCTCCCCCCTCTAGAAGGAATCTCCGCCTGCGCAGCCAACTCTTCCAACAGCGCCTGGCCCGAATGCGCCACTCTAACCATGATCCAATCCGACGGATGGCTGATGGGCGACATGTCTAATGCATATTCCTCCATCGCGCCACAGTACGTCCGCCAGCAACTAGGGTATGTCTGGAACACATTCAGGCCGTCAGGGATAGTGATCGCAGAGTTTGGATTCAACCCATTCGACGAATCGTTAAAGGAGGGCAACGCCCAGCGATATGATTTGGAACGTACGCTATATTACCAGGACTTCCTGGAGGAGATGCTGAAGGCGATTCATGAGGACGGAGTGAACGTGATTGGAACGCTGGCGTGGAGTTATCTGGATAACAATGAGTTCGGGAGCTATGGGAACCAGTATGGAATGCAGAGTGTGAATCGCACGGATGGGACGTGGGAGAGGAGGTATAAGAGGAGTATTTTCAATTATGTGGATTTTTTCCACGAGCATGTTAGCAGTTAGATAGGGTTGCTCTCTTTGCAACTCGTTACGAGGAACTGAAAGGCAGTGAGGCAGGCAATGCCTCGTTAGATATAGAATAGAGGGGAGTGAGTTACCTCAATCGATAGAAGACTACATTCAACGCTTGTGCGTGCTGCTCCCATGTTCAATGCTATTCAATTCTACCATGATGGTATACACACATCCTCAATGTTTTTAGAATCAAGTGGAACTTGTACACCATCCTACACACAATATCTCATCAAACCTATATAATACTTCAAATAGTCCACTCCACATACACCCCCGACGAAAAGAATAGTTCCATCAAGTTACTCAGTTCTACTAAAAAACAACTTACTAACCCAAGTAATCCTCCGACCACCACAGAAGCCACTACCGCGGTATATATAGATCAATCTAATAATAGTCCAACTTCCATCCCACCACCCATCAAAAACCTATACCCCTCTATCTACTTTACCATCTAAATATAGCCACCAGCCCTTCAAATTAACCAAACCCACAACAGAAAATAAAATCGCTGCCTAATATAAAAAAAAACCCCATCACAATCCCAAGTGCATCTCCCATTCCCCTCCCACCAATCGTATCCCCTAATCCTTAGTCCCGAAACCCATCACATCTTGGCATACAGCTTCCTCAGCTTGGCACGTCACAGCATCATCCAATAATTTTCCATAGATCATGGTACTCCCCGTCCCGTGTGTTATTTTTGTATCTTCTCGACTCCGTCAAGGTTATTTATTCTCTCTATGTTGTGTGGGAGGGATTGGGGGGTCTGAAAGGAGGTTGAGTTGGGCCCTGCAGGATCATGCCGAGGGCGGTTATTTTCTTTTCTTTAGGTTGGGAAGGGGTCAGGGTTTGAGTGTGTGGAACGGGCATGGAGATGGGGTATATATAAGGAAGGAAGGTGCTGAGGGGGGGATTCTTCACGTTTCGTTTCGTCTTTTCTTTCTTTTTCTTTAACTTCGGTTTATTTGTCTTTCTTGAGTATAAGTTATACTCTAATTCTGGTTTCTGCTAAAAACTACTTGTTGGGTTCATGGATCTTTGGTATCTGCTTTCGTTCATTACTTATTCTCATACTCTCATTCATTCTCATACTCGAGATATTATGTGCACCAGCAATGCGGGGGTATATGCCTCATTATGCACATGAAAACAAACCAATAACAGCAGGAACAACGACAACAAAGACATGATTCATATCCACCATTTCCCTCCCACTTTCTCTTCCTCAACGACATCGGCTTATCTACCATCACAGTCGCTTGTGATGCTGCATTACAGCTTCAACTCCCCCGGATACTCCTGCGACGGACTCTTCCCCTTATCTTCCGACACACTCATCATCACCTTCTTGGAGTACCCGACCTCGTGAGTTCGACCATCAGTATCCACAACTTGAAACCCGGAGCCGTACTGCGTGATCTGCTGCGGCTGCGAGTACATCTCCGGCGGCGGGTACTCGCTCCACGGATTCTCCGCCGCCATGGCCTTCCACTGGCGCAACTCTTCTTCTTCGCGCGCTTGACGATGCCACCAGCTGATGCCGAGCACACAGCCGATAGTCAAGATGAAGAGGAGAATAACGAACCCCATGAGCGGCAGGCCGATCAGTGTCGCCAATTTGTAGTTCACCCCACCGCCGCTGGGCGTGTCCAGCAGGTCGCTGGTGTAGGTAGGTAATTGTTCCTGGGCGAAGATTAAGGACGGGCTGATCGGGAAGGCCGTTTGAGATGGAACGGGGAAGTGGCAGTCATAGCGGAGGGCTTCGATGACTATTTCACATCAGGTTAGCCAGAGTTACGGAAGGAAACCCTGGAGAAACTCACAATTGGCCATGAGCACTTGTGTGCCGGTCAAATTATAGCAGAACTCGCAGGTCTCGATCTGATTATCGGCAAATGTGGAGGTGGAGCACCAGGCGCGAAGATTGATATCGTTCGGATTAAGCAATTCGAACTCGAGCGAGCTGCTCAGTCCTTGACAAGACACCAAGCATGGCGTCGAGACGCTGTCAACGCTAGCCGGATAACCGTAGACACAGGCACTGAACGCATAGCGGAGGTTATCTACAAAATCAGCAGATGAGCATTGAGATGCACATCGAGAACGACTCACACAATCCCCAGTCCACGTCCGTCACCAATCCACTCGGATCAGTGTAGGTGCTGTTGAGCGCACACGAGACGCAATCCTTGAAGTTCTTGCCAGTCGTGGTGTCGTTGTAGGCCGAGTCCATGCAGACAATTTCCGAAGTGGTGGTGTTGGTGGGGTCGTTACAGACGTCCCAGCATGGGGAACCTTCGCTCACGTACAACGCAGTCGCCGGGGGCGCGACCTGGCTGACGAGCAGAAACGACGCCGCAGCGGCTGCCGCTGCCCATCTCGATGTAGATCTGGGGCTTAGACCCCAAGAGCCGAGCATCTTGGTATTTGCTTGGGTTTAAATCGAGCGTCGGAGACGGAACGATAACCTCGCCAAAGCTACCGTTTTATCTTACGGCCAAACGAGGGTAAGCTGGGGACAGTGCGGTCGACAGAGCCCGCGCCGAGAGCACCGCGCAGCAAGAGGCAGAGAGGGAGCACAGCCGGGAGAGACTCGATGGGGAAAGCGAGGGTAGAAATGTGAAGGTGAATCAGTCCCAACCTAGATAGATCGTCGGTTAAACGGCAGGATCGGTGCCATGGTGGATTGATAAAGCAGACGGCCGAGGAGGGGAGGCACCGTTCCGTGCCGGATTGGCAGACATGCTTGCCTCTTGGATGGGGTGAGGAAGATCCAACGAGTGCAATGAGGAGCAGTAGGCCGGGCGCTTCGAGGGCCTCTCAGAAGCAGCGAAGGCGGGTTGTCTCTGAGGGAGGTGTGACGGTGATTGTGACGGCCAGTGCAGCAACTCCTGCCGCTGCCAGTGTGCCCGTTCATTGGCGGCTAGTAACAGGGAGCTGCAGGCAAGCCGTGGATGTGATGCGCCGTGATGGCCGCAGATTGGCGGCGAGCGCTGACCTGCTCGCGGGGTCCGGCGCTTGCTCGCGCCTCCGCATTGGCCCAGAACGACTGGCTGCTTGCCCATCACATCCACCGGCACTAATTAGCATCCCTGCTCATCTTGGATCATTGCTGGCCAATGGATCCGTCAACCCCTCCTGCGCTGATCGCCCTAACTTATTGGCGCTTCGAGAGGAGTTTTGTTGCCGCTGTTGGGACGTAGACACACTAAATCCATAGATTGGGGTCAAGATGATCGCCTCTGTCACCCACGGCGACACGCCAACATACTAGCTGCGAATAGTTATCACGCCATAAACGGACTTTCCAACAATTTAATCAATCCCCCCAAAAAGTAATGAGAAAAAAATCGACAAGAAGGAACCAAAAGCAAGACAAGAGAATCAAGGAAAACGCCTCCCGAACGGAATGAGACGCCACAATGCATGCAGGTTAAATCTTTTGCCCTCTCACGGCTGAATTAAGAATCCCATCCACCCAAACAATATAGCCAGCCCGGCGTAGCTCGGCCGTGACTGCCATCCCCAAACTGAAAGCAAGCATGCACGCAAATGATATACGAAGCATCAAAAAACAAACAGAAAGCCTCCCATGGGTCCTGCCCCAGATTCCGGTAGTTACCCGTACAATTCATCATACGACGGCACCATTTCAGGTTGTGTCGGTAGACTCAGCGGCTCTGGCTTGGGGTGCCGTATTGATTTTCGATCATGCTGCGTAGACAAACGGTGCCCCTGCGGTCGCTGGTCGTCCGATGGATTCGACGGCACCGAGGAGGTGTAGCTCGTATGCTTCGAACCGGCCGTTCCAGGTCCAGACATCGGAGGCTCCATCGTGTGGCTCTGAGCGCTGTGCCGGCTACGCATGCGAGATGTTACCGACAAAGGAGGCGATTTCGATGCATGGGAATAGGCGTCTGCTTCTTCTTTTTCGGCTGGATTTCGGTCGCGGGAGACATTGAGAGGGGCGGGCACGGCCACGTCGTCCTCGTCTCCAGAGGACTCGTCTGAACAAGATGCATGGTCGCATTCACGGGGAGAATCGAGGGCCTGCGACAGGCCGATTGGAGGGCTCTGCTGTTGATTTTTCCTCCGCATTCGACTAACTCGTGCATCATAGTGGCCGGTAGGAATCGTCATGGCTGAATCCACGGATGGCGCCCGCACATTGGCATCCCCAATGCGGCTGTAACTCCCCAGGCGCGGCGCGGTGGCGGATCGATTGAGTTCCAAAGAACCATGCCGTCGCTCGTGGTCGGGAGAGGCTGAAGTTGCGCCGGTAGAAGACTGATCCCATTGACTCCAGGACCCACCATTGGGATAGGTGATGGAGACATCCCCCCATCGCGAGTGCAGCTCTGAGGATAGCTTTCGCTTGCGTCGTAATTTCTGGATGATAGCCGTCATCGTCACAAGAGCGCCCTTTCTTAATGTAGTCGAGCTGGAGCACCCGGGCCCGCGTCAGCATCGACCGCACAGGTCCCTTCCAAGAACTCGGAGGAAAAACTAGGTTAAGAAGGATCAAGTCCAACCACGGTACCTTAAAATGTAAGGGCCCGCCGTCTACGGGTTCGATTTACGTCGGGTGCCTCTGCTTCAGAGGCCCCCACGACCCGGTCCCGAAGCTGCCTAGAACAGGAAAGTGAGATAGGAACAGGGACCAGACAGCCACCGAGGGACTGGCATGGAAAAGTGTAAACGGGGGGTTGAGCACCGAAAACTGCAATCCATCGGCCGAAAGCCGGCTGCATATCGCCCACAGGATGGCAGAAGAAAGACCCTTTCAGGGACCAACGCTGGATTCCTTCAGGGAACGTCCTTCAGTGCAAAGAGGGATGGGCATCGGAGCTTAGCGAGCGGGACGGACGGTGAAAGGCGAGCAGACACATCTTGAACCCGACAGAATGGTTCACCCTCCATCACAGCGGACTTTTTGTCGCCCTGGGTGGGGAGGCCTGTCGGGCGTACGCGGCCAGTGGATGAAGTCTCAGTCAACCGGAGGGGGATCGCCCTTTTTCTTGTAAGCGGGATAGTGATTCCGACGCATTGACTGGTCATGGGGAGCCTCTGGAGCAGGGAGCAGAGCCGGTCCGCGTGCCTGGAGATGGTAAAAGAGGGGAGAGCATGTCGGGAGAATAGCTGAGCGGCGCAGTCAACTTGCAGGCAACGTGCAGCCAGCCTACCGAAGGGAGCTGCTAACAGACTCCGGGAAGTTGGCGGCATCCAACCACAGTCGCAGCTGATAGTCCCCCCTTGGCGTGGTCCATCCAGCGGCTGCGAGAGTGATGGAATGGGTGTGACACAAGGCAATCCTTGTTCGAGGAGATGAATGGACCTCTCAGCGGCTACGAGGATGGGCGAGATCCCTGATGATGGAGGGAGGGAGCGTGATGAGGAATGCCACTAGTTGTCGTAGTAGCAGTAATAGCAGCAGCTAGCCTCAAGTCGTCAGCTCGACTGCCGCACCCAACTCCGACGTAGCATTGGTAACTGGGGGGGTGGGAGGTCGGAAGATTGATTGGCACAGAAGCTTCGATGGGAACCAGGGTCTGGAGGAGGAAAAGAGGGGAAGCAGCAGCGACAATCACCGGTTGATCGTCGCGGTTGGGCCCGAACCACCCGTCGAGCTTATCTACGCGCCGTGATGGAGACGGCGCGCGAGGGCCAGCGTAGTGGTCACTTGTCACTTGTCACCGTGCAGCAGTCGAGCCCGGCCGATTGCCTAGCTGCAGTAGAGTGAGACATGAGGGGGGAGAAGATGGTGGGAAAGTTGTGGATTTGAAGAGAAGGAGGAGGTGGTGGTGGTGGTGGTGGAAGAAAGAGAGAGAAGATGGAGAGGAAGAGGGAGGGAGGGGGTCCCCAGTGGCTTGCCTTGCCGCCTTCGGGCTCTTCCACGCTTAATTGTTTGGAAGTCACTCATCAACCTTCCTTGGCCCATCACACCATGCTGGGCACAGTAATTTAGGCCGGAGATATGTAGGTGATGAAGAAAGTGATTGTGGTTGGGTGGAGCGGGGGTCCATCCTGGTTCAACTCATCCAGTATGAGGGGAGGAGAGAGGTGACTTGCAATAAAGATACAATAGAAGGACAGACAGAGAGGAAAAGTAAATAGTAGACACGTACCTGAGGCATTCATATCATATCTCTTTTAGTCTTCGATCGATACCTTCATCCCAACTTTAATCTGCAATCATCATCATTGTGGTCGTTATTATCATCATCATCAAAGCCATAACCCAAGCAACCTTAACACCCAACAGCACCAACCAGGACTCCAAACACCCGACATAGAAACATAAGAAAGACCACGACTATGTCAGCCTACCCAAAGTTCGTCACCAATCGTGACAACACTGGTCTAGGTCGCTGAATCGATTGACCTTCTTCCACTTCACCAACCTGTCTGTTGGCTGGTACATCCAGCCTCTCCTCAACCGCAAAGCTAAAAGCATTCGAATCCCTATCTGGCACTCTCCTCTGAGGCTCTATCCCCAATCCCGACATCCGATACATACTAGCCGTGACCCCAGGATATGGCACCGCGATGCCCACCATGCCATCAACCCCATGGTACCGGGAAGGGTCATACACAGGAAGAGGCTGATACGCTGGCGGGGGATCCTCAATGACCCTCTGCTGAGGTTGATGTTGCTGTTGATCAAGACATGAGAAAGGTTCCTGATGGGTCGATGAGGTGATCTCAAGCGGGTATTCGGGAGTATGAGGCTTGCTCCCTTCCAAGTCAGGATGATACTGATAGTACCCGGTAGTGGACTGGGACAGGTGATGGGCGAGCAAGCGTTGCTGCTGACGGCGATGACGGCGTTCGTTGATCCGCTTCTTGCATCGGATGAGAAGAATAGCGCTGATGACTGGCAGGACAGAGTGAAATGAGATGCTGTCGAGCCCCAACGCTCATGGTAGAAGCAGCCAATAAGGATAGATGAGAGTGACAACATACTCATGACCACTGCTACTCCTCCGAATACCACGCCAATGATCATTTGGTCCCGACCGGACGCGGAGGACTCCACGGATGATGATGAGTCTTGTCGAGGATATCCATCACGAGGGAGGATCATCGTGCATATCCCTTGGTGGATATGACAGATGGAAGGGAGTGAGTGGAGTGGACAACAGATTGGATGACGACTTGCTTGCTTGCTTGAAGCACCAACACAGCTCAACGATGAAACAGCACACCAGGAAAACGAAACAAAACAGAATGCAGACCAATCCACCAGGAGGACCAGAGAACCCTCCGACTTAAAATACTGTTCAAACTCACCAGTCAATCCCAGCCTGGCGCTGGAGAGGTGCCGTTCCCCGCTCGGCAGCTATTTTAATCTCACCGAACCTGTCACTCAACCAGGAACTGGCACATCAGAACTCGTGGAGATGAACAAACAAGCAAAAACCAAGCCAAAAATAGCATCTGTGATAAGGTATGAGCGGGATCCATTGGATGAGAGACGTGGAGTCGCGGTGCCTGAGCGCTTGGAGGGAGTATGTTTTGAGGGCGCTTATTCGCGATGAGGGTCCGGGAGGGGACGAAAATAGCATATCCTATCTGTAGCTAATTCTGTAGGGCTAGCCTGACTTAAAATAGACACATATCTCCATCGTTCATATACCAACCTCCCAATTCCTACTATTCTCTCGCAAAACAAAGAGAGAGAAAAGGAAAATCTACTCCGCAAAAGGCCTATAAACCAACAACCCGCCCTCGGTCTCAAAACTGACCTCAACCCCAGCACCCACGAAATAAACCCACCCTTCCCTCAGCTCAAACTTCTTCTCCTCACCCTTCACCTCCATCCACCCATTTCCCCTTACAACCACCAGCAAACTCACTCCCCCAATCCCCCGATGCACCTCCTTCTCCCCCTTCCCCAACCTCACCCCCAGCACCGAGAACTCCGAAAACGGCGGCTCATAAACCTCCGTCTTCCAACAACCACCAACATCACTTTTCTTCGTCCTCAAAAGCGCACTCTCCACATCATGCGGCTTGAAACTCAACGCCCCCGTAAACAAATCCACATCATCGCTCTCCGCCTTGGGACAAAATCCCGTATTAATGACATTATCCGACCTGGCCATGCACTCCATGATATCTCCGGTAAGGTACGCATGCATACTATCCGCAGGGACACAAACTGCTTCCCCGGGCCCCAGGGTTATGTAATTCATAAGAATCGTGGCAACAAGACTACCATTATCGGTCTCCGGGTACATCTTCTTCAATCGAGTGAGTAGACCTGGAATGTATCGCTGATTCGGGCCGAATTGGGCCTCCGGGATAGTGAGCAGGGAGGAGATGGTTTCGGAGACGAGGAGCGGGGGAAGGGTGAGTAGGATGCGCGAGATTTCGCGGAGAAGGGAATCGTCGAAGGTAGGGGCGTTGGTTTCTGTGGGGAGGAAGCGTTGGAGGGGGGCGAGTTTGAATAGGTTTTCGATCTCGTGCAGGGGCTTGAAGCCGACGAAGAGCTCGAAGTTGGAGAGCGCGATGGCGATTTCGGGCTTGTGGTTGGGGTCGGAGTATTTGTCTGGGTTGGATTTGTGGAGTTGTTCGGCGAGGGTTTTGTCAGGGTGAATTTGGAGAGGGAGGGCTTTTTGGAAGGAGAGGATCTTCAATTGTACAAGTTTGTCGTTAGTATTCATCTGGATTGTCGGATGGGGGTAGTATAGGGTAGGAATGTACCTTAGGGAGAAACGGCACCTCCGCACCCCATTTCTTGTATCCTTCGCCGGTGACCTCTGGGTGCTTTTGGAGATACTCGCTTAGAAGCTCACCTGTGGCCAGGATACGAGATGGGACGGTGGGATACGTGCCCATCCACATCTGTAGTCACAGTTAATTAGTCTCGTTTTCTGTGAGAATAAGGTGGGTAAAGGGACATACCTCCGAATAATGCTGATCATTCTCTAATTCCAACGTACCGGGGGTCTTAGAGCATAGAACACCAGCTAAGGAGTTTTTGCCTTTCTTACCCCAGGGATCATTCTATTAATGTCAGTAAATTGCGCGAATTTAGGGGGTTTAATGTGATAAATGGATGCATACCTTGATCCCGCACTTGAGCTGAAATACCGAGGCTGTCATAGTGATGATGATGGAAATCAATTGATATGTCCTATTCTCTGAAAGAAACTCAATACTCCATTTAGGCGAAGAATAAGACCTTATAAAGGTATACAGATATTTACTGATATCGGAGTCATATGTTGACTGCGTGAACATGGCGTCATGGACTGCGGTGGAATGGCCGGATGGGATGGCGTCATGCCCTGATCACTACTGCCATGCCCTGATGGTCTCGCCCTGGTCCGGGAAGCCTTCCGACGAGTGATGGGAGTTTAATTTTGCCTTCTTATCTGATCTGCAGATGCGGTATTCTAACTACTTTGTGATTTCAAGTCCTAGAATTATATAAGACATAAAAGTTCCTGAGGATTTGATTACCAAGTAGTGGTGGTGAGAGCGGCCCGTCAAGTTGACGTCAGTTGAGTAAGTGAAATGTTACTTAGCGACTGTGACTGCAACGTTGTCAGTGTTAGTAATCTAGAGTAATACTACGAAGTACTAAGTTCTAAAAGTAGTTATTGATAGTTAAAGATCAGTGTTAACCATCATAATATAAGGATTATTATATTTAACCGTCCAAATGTAACCATATGTTGCTCAGAACCCCGCCAACGCCATACTAATATATGCAAATATGTCCAAGTCCACATCACGGCCGTCACACATAAAATAATGCATCGCTAACCCGTTTCACATCACAACAACAAAAACACTAATTATCCATAAATATCATCTGCATCCGGCACCATTGCCGTCGTCAAGTTCCTCCCAGATCGGCCCCGCTTCTCCGTGGACGCCACGCTGCGGCCCAACGCCGGACTGCCCCGTCGACTACTAGTAGCAGCACTATAGTAATCCACACTGCTTCGATCTCGTCGCGTAGATAGAGGCCGTGCATACCGCTCTCTTCTCTCCTCATAGTACTCATCATCATAGCAATCCTCCGCAGCATCGGGATACCGACGATGACTCCGCTGCGTACCCTCACTCGGACAACTACTCTGCACACTATCCCGCTGACCCGACCAGCGACGCGAGGTCGCCAGTCCGAGTTCCTCAGCGTACTGTGGTGCAGTAGGGATGTACTTGAATCGTGGAGAGTGCTGGCTTTGCCGAGAGGCCTTCTCAGCCATCTCAGTGGGATAATCTTGCTGGATGGGTCGGTAGGTGAACTGAGACACCCGTCTCTCTGCTTTGGTTTGGCGGTCGGTGGGGGTGTTGTTCTCTTTAGGGTAGTCGGGGGTGGGCTTGGAGCGGGAGCTGATGCGCATGGAGAGACGGCGCGGGTTTAGCGCCTTGACGGAGAATGTGCTGGTTTGGGTGGACTCGTGATGATCGTCGACAGGAGTATCCTGTCCTCGACTCAGGACTTCGTAGGCGGGTCGTCGGCGGTCTGATGATCGGTGGGGGTTGTCACGCTGGTTCCAGGAACCTTCAGTGGGAACGGTGATGCCCACGTCGCCCCATCGTTCATGCAGCCGCTTGTGGGATCCGTTTTTACGGAATCGACCGAGGGGGCCACTGACTATACTGGCCATGATGGGTGGTGGGAGGTGGAGTGATGGAGGATGATTGGATGGGGGGACACAACTCTCAGCCCTAAAATAGCTGAATATGACACATGACAGTGGCAGAGAACAAGCACTCTCGAGTGGAGGCTTGTACCCCAGACGCTCCAACGGTTGGCCTGGTAGCTGGGGACTAGGCAGGGTAAGGTGCAGAGACAGTGCTGACAGATGCACGTCTAGCCAGGGAAGAGAATATAGGACGAGGTGATTGGAGGAGAAACAGCAAAAGGTAAAATGGAAGTTGAGTTAATTAGTATAGTATAAGAGGCAAGACGCAACAACCTCGCCAAGCACAGACCATATCAAGATACTTTGTGGAAAGAATCGAAAGTAAGGCTTTCTCCAAGGCTCTCTAAGGCTGCCAGTCTGGTTCTAAGACAGCCTCGTCTGAACATGGCGGATGGTCCATATAAAAGCCTTGCACGAGCAGGGGGCCACGATGGTGATACCTTTCTTGTTCCACAATCGATATCAAAACGCATCATGCATGTTCATTTGTTTGTTGCCAAGTTTAGAAGCACCCTCCATGCCCATCACCCGCATCATGGCTGTCTCATCGTGGATTAGCCGCCCGGGGTGACGGATGGGCGCTTTAGCCAAGGGTTCGACTGGAGGGATCGCCCGGCGGGTGGAAAAGGAATGCCACTGATAGGCTGACTAGATGCTATGATCTATTTTCAGATCACCGGTTTACCGTCCTAATTAACCGCCCTGCTTCGGGGAGAGAATGATGGTTAATGCGGACGGATTTAGAAGCACTAGTCGGTCACTTGCAGCAGCGTCGCGCCCGGGAACCCCTCCTTTGGCCCTGAAACCACTCACACTGTGTTCCATCTGGCTGGGAGGCCACTTCATCCCATCCGGCGTTTCATCTGGTCTGTAGGTAGGGTTGGGAGCCAATGGCAGATAGTGCTCCCTTGTGATCTTCTATTTTTGGAGCTGAACTCGATGATGGTGTGATAGAGCCTGCTACTATGCTTTTACTAAGCTATGCGGGGTTTCAACTTGTGAAGTATTAACCTGGAATAAATTGTTAAGTAGTGCAAGATTCTAACAGGTCATGACATTTATAGCGATATGCAGCTATACTATTTGGAGGAAGAGTCCGTTATATGACCAAATAGTGAAGACTTGGCAAGTGTAGGGTGAAGCTAAATAACTCGATTTAACTTTTTCTATAGGCCATTACCCTTTATTTGCTCTCTTTATTTCCACGAGGCTATAACACATGGGTTATCGGCAACCGCAATTATTCAGTCTGAAGATCACAATTTTCCGAAATAAAGTAGGGAATTGAACATAATTTTCCAGAGCGCGGAAGCAGGAAGTGTGCCTAGTAAGATATCTTGATAATTCATGGATCTGACGAGCCATTAGAAAGAAAAGAAAAGAGAAAGCTCAATAATATTTCCAAGGGAGAACAGTCCATGAAAGCCTGTTCCACCTATACAATCAGATATACTAGACAGCATGCAAAAGTGAAAGAAATGTTTCATCACCTGCGCTTCTTGACGTTTCCTAGGTATATTCCCTAGAGTTAAGTACAGCGCTAAGCGTGTCAACCACTGGGGGGCAAGACTGGCTCCTAACATCTTAAACACCAGGTTTGACCGGCTCCCCGCCACAATCCCCATGAGATTATTAAGAAACCGCATTATCACATTCATCAAAGGTAAATGAATTGAATTGCTGAAAAATTCGACACCGTCGATGATACATATCACGACCCCGCTTGGGATACGCTTGACCACTTCTGAAAAGGGCGGCAGAGGATCGTCACATCTTGCCTCGCAATGGTGTGAAGACGCTCATCTACCAAAAAGCTGAGATCTAAACTGTTAGTCTCTGCGAGATTAATGATTACTTGGTCGATCAGAGATCTCATCATCTCTGTGACTCCAGCCTGGCTATCTTGGGCGTTGCAGTGTTGCCGGCAGAAGAAGGCGATTGGTATTATTGGTATAGTGGGGTCGAGAGACTTGAATAACACCGAACACATGTAGGTTAGTGGCGAGCTAAAGTTTTGTTGCAAGATATCCTGTTCCATGTTGGAGTCCTCCCAAGACAAGCATCTTCCTTCTCTCAGTGGTGATAACGCCGATCGTAAGGTCTACAATTTCAACTTTGGGAAAGGGATCCGACAAATGAAGAGCAGTGAGAAGCTGCTCAGTCGTGATATATACCCGAGTAGCCTAAGAAGCCATAGCGCCATGGTATGCGAGTACTAGAAGGAGATATTAGTAGCAGGTATGAATGCGCCAAACCATTCAGCCGAACGAGACACCATGAAACTCACTCGGTTGTATTTGTCTCAAGTAATCTCGTAAAATGGCCTCACACCTCTCCCACTATGCTGTAGCTTGGATTAGGGCTTTAATATCCTCCCTTATTGCGTCCTGCCCTTCACGATCCGGACCACGTCCCTACCCATGTCATGTACTTCGATGCTCAAACAGGACTTGACGGCCTTTTCAAACGCATTTGCCTTTTCGGTGACAGTAATACTGATGAAGGTTTCAAGGTGGGCCCATAATCATCTTGTTGTACAATTGCCTCTCCTACTTCCAGCGTACCTCGAGAAGCTAGACGAATGTGAGACGCTGATTCTAAGCAGTGGAGGAACAATCCTTACCGCTCTTGTTCTTAGTTACACACGCCGATCAACAACGCCAACAGTGACAACTATACCTTGCAACAACCGCAGCAGCAAACTCAACATCTCCTGCGACCCGACGCTATTCCAACATTTGCCCAAAGCACTAGTTCATAGTCAACTTTGTCGCAATTCGGTTAATCTTTCGGCAATTCATGATGATCACGCTATGTCTGTCATTGCAATTTGAAACCGCATGCATGGCATATGCCATCCGATGCGAGTGGCAATAAACTCAGAGCTATCTCGATTATGTTCCGATTTGGGGTAGGCCACTGGCATGTATAGCTAGCTTGTAATGACCAATACACTGATGTAGAATAAAGCATTGGCAGAAGTGTTTAAGGTGGGGGCATCTTGGACCCGCCATCGATTGATTCACATTGCGCTTTGCTGATAAATCAGCATTACAGAATGGACTCTATTTCTGTGATAGCGGTGCAGATAGCAGCGGACCGCCCTCAAAATCAAGAGAAAAGTCTAAAGCCCAAGCGTGGTCTCTATACCGTCAACCCTGTAGAAAGATAACTCCAGTCCTGTCGTCTGATTCTAAGATGCAATCCTGGTCTAGACCCATTGCCATGAATCAACGCATGAACTGCCCAACAAGCTAGTATATCCTACCAAGCCAAAATATCCTCGTCAATATATAGTATGTACACCGAAGGGAAGAACCTCGTCATTATATTCTCTGTCGATCGCAGTGTTCCAGCACATACGTCACAACTGAATTCGAGAGACAATGCATATGTATTTGGTCAGTTGTAAAAGTTACGGGAAGTGGGATTGGAGACATAGGCCTTGGGCGTCATTCGAAGGTGGTGAGGTGAAGGCGGAAACGATGGCTCAGGTGTTGTTGGCAGCGCGTGAGCGGATAGATCGGGAGTCCAAACAGGGGCCCGCTGGGAAGCCACTCGTCCAATATGTATGGGAGAAGATGGATGCGGTGACTGTGTGCTGCTGTGAGGAGTCGCCTCGTCGGAAGGCGGGTCGTCAGATGATGACGGGTCCCATGAAACATGTCGCTCTAGCGGGACGCGGGTCCGAGGGGAGGCTTCCTCACTATATTCGTCGCTCCCAGAAGAAGGACTATAAGATCCATCGTCGATGTTGAAAGGTTGACTAAGATTGTTTTGACGGCGTCGTTGAACTGCTTGGTCCAGTCTGGCTGAGGCCACAGAGTCGATGCGGTGCGTTTGTTCGGATAGCAATACGCTGCGGGATCGTTGCAAGAATGGTCTTGTCCGTCGACCCGCATCATTCCGGGCCTGTTTGATTTTTTCAATTTCATGATTATAGGAGCTTCTCCGATTCAATAAGCGTCCTCGGCCACCGCTGCTGTCGAGAGATTCGATCGAATGGCCGGTAATGTTATCTGTTCTCGCGTGGACGCGACTCGGGGAGAAAGCCACTCGGGCCCGCATTTTCTGAATGGCCAAGTCCAGGGCCAACTCAATGGCGCAGTGGTTGCGAATTCGCCCAAGCTTAGGCCATGTGGCACGCTCGCCGCTTAGGCATGCTTCAAGCATAAATTCCGTGGTCGGATTGCGTAACATTACGGGAATCCGAGAATATTGTATTTCCGGATATATGTTGATATCTCCGGAATATTTCTGGTTTACAATCGAAACTGTTTTAGTCAAAGACGTTGGGAAGATCCCCAGCTCGGACATGACTGTCATCCGATGGAGAATTTCATCCTTGGCAAGATAGGTGATAGCCCGGAGCCAGCGAGAAGCGGTAAATGTGTTTTCTAGATATGGATCTGGCCCATCATCCTTGGGAAGGAATGGAACAACATGGGGATTGACCTGCGACACGATGAAGTGGTTGACGTTGAACATCTCTGACAGACGAGTCATAGGGAGATCACCGTCCACGGAGCCGTCGATGTATTGCCTATGAAGGTCGCTCCATGGAACTGGTTCTCCCGTTAGTGGGTCCTTAGCCATGAGGGCGTAAGGCGAGAAGACAACCGGGACGGAACATGAGACGGCCCTGTTGAAGTCAGCATCAACTCATATACGTCTGAAGACAGTCAGGACCCGGTAGGGGGATATCATACACAGCAGACCAGATCAACACATTAGGCGCCGTAATGTAGTTCAATAATTTGGGTAGCTCGTAGATGCCAGCACTGGAAACGCAAATGTTGAGGATGCGTCGTGTTCGGTTATATGCCTCCTGAAAGGTGATATCGCCCAACCAATTTCTTACCACCTTGGCTAGATGAGAGATGTCCAGGAACGAACCATATTTCAAGAATCTCGCTGTCTTCTGAAGAATAGTATCTTCTTCAGTCCCTTCCCCGAAAACAGCAAAATCCCCTTCTGTAAATGAATCCAGCAGAGCCGGCAGTTCATCCTCAGTACGAGTACAGAAGACCGCACACACAATACTGCCCGCAGACGCGCCAGAGATGATTCGCGGGAGAAGGTTAGCTTGCCATAGAGCCTTGAGTACCCCAATATGATTCATGCCAAAAGTGGCTCCCCCGGAGAACAGCAGCGCACTGCGTCCGAAAGCCTGTCTCGCGGCGAGCAACTGGTCCAGAATATACCTTGATTCCACCACATCGCACCGGTTTCGATCTGCTAGTTCAACCAACGATAATATTGTTTCCAGAGCGGTATCAATGTATTGATCGATGAGGTTCTTAGTCCCGAGATGAGCATGCTTGTAGAGAGACGCGTTGCTCATGTTGCCCAAATCGCGGCTCAGAGACGTGCGGATAAGGAACAACATGCGACTGATATCACAGTTAATCCGGGCATCGTCCAGCTGCTTGAGACGATCGAGCACGAGATGAGGGTCATAGTCGGGACACTCAAACGTTTGCTTCCAGGCAGAGTTATTCTCCAACTCATCCAGTTCACTCGCAGCGTCTCGCCATTCTTCATACGTCACAGCCTGGAATGACGTTAGTTGACAGCCATGCTGGCTGCTTCGGAATCCCAAAAAAAAACCTCCTGTAACTCACATTGCGCTTCTTGAGGTACAAAGCTTCCTTTCGCTCATCCACGGCAGCACGCAGTCTGCGTTCTTTTGGGGACTGTCCATTCCCATAGGAGCCCCACGTGTCCCCCGCCCATGTCAACGAGTTTTTGACGACGGCCGACAGCGAGGGAAGAGAAACGGACTTGAGGACGGAGCGACGGGGTCTATTTGACGTCTCCAGAGATCGGGGTTTGCCCTTGACATGACACTGAGGTCGAACAAGTGAGGAATCATGCAGGATGGACATGACCGGCTTCAGGGTGCATCAGGCTCGCATCGGTGCGGAGATGGAGGGGAAACTAAGTTTGGATTGGAGAGGGTGCCTAAACCGGGAAGGCAAATCGGAGATCTTAGCGGATTATACCCGAAAAAGCATTCGAGAGGTACTACCCCTAGGCAGAAGTAAAGAAGTGGAAGGAAGGGAGGAGGTTGGTGATGTTGGGAATGTAAGTCGGAGCAGCAGTGGGAAGTAGATAGATGTAGCCGCAAGAGTTAAGTGTGCCGCGTCTTTAGCAGGTCAGGCACGAGGCAAGGCCAGTCCTTCCGTCAGTCAGCCGGATCCATGCATTTTTACAGTGCCTTGGTCTTCTGCCAGGAATGCCACACTGAGAAAATGGCCACTCTTTCTCCCCAGACGTCACGAGGCAGCCTGTCCCGCATGCCTGATTGGTTCCCCGGCTTTCCAGCGGGTGCTGCCGATTGCCCCAGTCACGGGATGGGGGATGGGGATTACTGTCTAAGTATTGTTCACAGAACAACTTATGCGGGTTGTTGCTCAAAGAGCCTAGAACCACTCTTCATCTTCCATCTTTATCATCATCGATGAACACCCCATGTCCTCATCCATAACAACTAGACTCTTATCTAGTGGACCCCGACACCGGATCCCCGATCGGCATTTGTACAATTGTCAAAGTATGTGTGCGATGGCGATTCCTCCATCCGATGGCCCATACATCCGGTGATATCATACCCCCACAATCGTCTGCTGCATTCCCTTTGCATGCTAAAATCTGCAGATCAGTAAAACTTAAAAGAGATTTCCACTTCATGCCTTATTACCCGGTGTCAGATCCAGCCGGATCGGGAACTGCGCTAAATTGGACCTAAGATGGCGACCTTGGTTCACAAGCCTGGCATGGATGGTTCAATCTCCTCGGACCCTATAAGCATCTGCTGTATGTTTTTTCCTGCCTTTCTCACTTCTCGAGAGTTTTGCAACAAAACATCATATCCCAGCAGAGCGGAACGTCTTGCGTCATGGGTGTTAGTGGTCTCGCCGATGAACGAGTAAAGACCAAAGGGACATCACCCATCACTGCAAAGACACCGTAGCCATACAGGATCATGCAAAATGCAGCTGAAATGCCCTCAAGATGGACGCTGGTCGGAATCGACTCTTTCCAAGAAGGGGACCTTCCTCTGTCGGAACGGTCAGGCGAGCCCCACGCCCGCTTCACATGCTTCACCACCACTCGTCAACCCCTGCCCTGCATGTGAAGAGGGAGAGATAATCCACCATCTGGTTGGCACTCTATCACGCAAACCTCTCGTATCTCAGACACACATGATCTAGACTCGAAGTGGGACACGATAAAACCAGGCTGACCACCCACACATGTCAAAACATACCAGCCATCTTATCAAGATGTCGACATCTGACACACCCAGTCCCGGATAGCCTGTCTCGCCTGAGCCTCGACACCATGTTCTCTCCAGAAATGGCCGGCTCCCTCGATCTCTACCGCCTGGAACCTACTCCCCGGTGCATGGGCCAGTTCGGCTGACCATTTTTCTAATTTACTCGCCGACGTGAATGTGTCCTCGTCGCCGAAGATAGCCAATGTCTCATGCGCACACAGTTGATCGGCTGGCTTGGGACAGGGTATCTGTCCCTGTTTCCCTTGCCCAGGTGCCGATGATGTCTGCGCACTTGCATCAAGCGACATCTTCGAAAACAGCGTCAAGAATTGATTAACCGGTGGCAGAAGCGGCGACACAAGGAGATAAGAAACAGCAGCAGTGAGTTTGATACTGTCCGCCGCGGAT